TAGTAGTAACAAGTGCCTTACTAGTAGTAACAAGAAGCTATTAGAATGGAACTTAAATCTAAACTAAATTCATAGCTTCTTGTTACTACTAGTAACAAGTGCCACGCTAGTAGTAACAAGTGCCTTACTAGTAGTAATAGCTTCTTGTTACTACTAGTAACAAGTGCCACTCTAGTAGTAACAAGTGCCTTACTAGTAGTAACAAGAAGCTATTAGAAGTAAACTTAAAATCTAAATTAAATTAATAGCTTCTTGTTACTACTAGTAACAAGTGCCACGCTAGTAGTAACAAGTGCCTTACTAGTAGTAACAAGAAGCTATTTGAATTAAACTTAAATCTAAATTAAATTAATAGCTTCTTGTTACTACTAGTAATAAGTGCCACGCTAGTAGTAACAGGTGCCTTACTAGTAGTAACAAGAAGCTATTAGAATTAAAATCAAATTTAGATTAAATTAATAGCTTCTTGTTACTACTAGTAAGGTACTTGTTACTAGTAGCGATGCACTTGTTCCTAGTAGCGATGCCCTTTTGCTGGTAGCTTCTTGTTACTAGATGCCCTTGTTACAAATAGCTTCTTGCTCCTGGTAGTAAGGCCAGGAGCCCCTAGTAGCGTCCTTGCTCCTAGTAGTAAGGCCAGGAGCCCCTAGTAGCTTCTTGTTACTAGCAGCGATGCCAGGAGCTGGGCTTCTTGCTACTAATAGAAATGCCCTTGTTGCTAGTAGCAGTTTTCTTTTTATTGTATATATTTTTGGCTTCATGGTGTGTCTCTTTTCACAGCCACCAAAAATAAAGCAACCGGTGCATCTTGTCTCCCACATCTCTGGCAAATCCAATCTGCATTTTGCCCAAGGTGAATTCCGTCATCGAGGCCTGCTGTGCGCTGCTGGAATTGGAGGCCCATGTTTGTGGAGCGCGTCGCCATTGAGGACCAACGGATGAACAATCGTACAATGGAAACAAGGCCGAAGGAAAATTTTGCCATATACTTTTGTACCTTGGAGTAGCCTTTCTGAACACGTTCCACACTTGATGCAGCAATGTTGGGCTCATTTCCCAGATCTTGGCATTGATGCTGTTTCTACAGTAGACGTCCTTAGCGAGATGCGGTTTGTGTTTTCCTGATGGTAGAGTTCTGCAAGATCTGTCTAAACCAATTTGAGAATCTTTTCCAGTCACTTCTTCTCAGCGGAAGCCAATCACCCGCAGGCACGTCTGGAGCGAGGAGGTCAAGATTTGACTGACCTCACACAGAGCTTGAACCTCGAGGTGGCAACAGGCGACAAGCGAATCAAGAGAAGGAATAGAATGAAGTGCAGGAAGACATGAGGACACACAGTACGCGACGTGACATATTTCGGTAATAGGTAACTCTGAGCTTGCCGCATGCGTCAATTCGATTGGAGGCCCTAGGAACAAGAACGCTACTAGGGGCTCCTGGCCGTACTACTAGGAACGAGAAGCTACTAGGAGCAAAGGGCATCGCTTCTAGTAACAAGTGCCTTACTAGTAGTAATAGGAAGCTAGTAGTAACAGGTGCCACGCTACCAGTAACAAGTGCTACAAACGGGGCTCCTGGCCGTTCTCGGCACCGCCCCGTGAGGCGAAGCGAAGCGGCCCCGGCCGCCCGAGGAGGTCTTCGGCAGCGGCGACGCCGAGTTCCCCGGCTTCTCCGCCAGGAGCCGAGTCGGAGTCGGGACGGTGGAGTTCAAAAAGGAAACAAAAAGGACAGCGGATGGAGTGAAGGATATGAAATATGGCTTTTCGGATTGGATAGAGTGTTTCTCTTAACCAACTGAAATATGATGTACATATATAAATATGCATTACTAGTAGCGTCCTTGTTACTACTAGTAAGGCACTTGTTACTAGT